GTGTGTGTGTGTGTGTGTGTGTGTGTGTGTGTGTGTGTGTGTGTGGCCACTCTACCACTATTTCTCCAGTCTAAGTTTTAGAGTAGGAAGTGGCTTCACATCATTTAAGATTTCATGGAAGAGCTGCATGGTGATGGGCCCCTAGTGTTATTTGCAGCCTACGAAGCCAGGAGGCTGCAGTCTAGACTTTGGGGAAGGGAGGTAACATACAGCAGGCCGCAGCCCCACGTGCAGCAAAATGGTTAGACTTTACAAAAACAGCATTTTGTGTAGGTGTTTCCTATTTGCCTCATCATAAGAACCCCCCAGAGATTTCGGCGACTCTGTTTCAGTGACTTGGGAATAGAACTTCTGAATATATGCTGTCATTTAAGTTAATAAATTGTATTTTTAAGAATGGCACTATATATATAGATACTTCTCAGATGATTATTAAGTTAAGGGAAGATTTACTCGGCCCCAGCTTTCTCACTAGTGACTAGTAAAATAATCTTCTTCCTAACCAGCTTGTGGTTTGTGATTCTTTTTTTCCTGGTTATTATGATACCAAACAAGAATTCTATGATATATGGAGAGAACTTCTATTTACCAGATAAATGAGCTCAGCAATTTTTTTAAAATGTTATAAATGAAAATGTTATATTGACATTTTAGAATTAATAGTAATTTAATTTACCAAGTACACCAGAAATTTGAGCCGTTAAAACCTATAACTGATCCTGACCTATACTCATTTTTACTTTTGCTGGTTCCTACCATCTCATTGGTTATTTTCATAGGTCTTTACTAGGTAATATTGTCCCCATTTGTTAAAGGACACAGAGTCACTGTGTTTAGCTGGAGGACATGCCTTGAGTCCAGCAACTGGCTGCAGATTAGTATTAGTTATTTTATTCTTTAATTATTAGTAAATGGATATGGGGGTGGTATGAACACACTTATCTATAGGTTGTTTTTATTTGCTAAATCTTCTCCAAATCTGTCTCAATAGAAAATAAATAGTTCTTATTTGATGGCCATAAGTGACATGAGTTGACACTGGTTTGAGGGATTTGGGGAGGAGGGGAGGAGGGAGAAGGGAGCTTTCAGAAACAGAAGCAAGATGGCTGTATGGAGTTCCAGAGGCATGCTTTTGAGGTTACTCACCTTTAGATAAATGACTGAATTTCTGTTAAGCAGGGGACACTTCTAAAACACTTTTAGGTTATACAGCTTATTAAAACTGTCTAATGTACATGCTGTTTTGAATGGTATACTTTACAGATCTAATCGTGGTTCATGGTGTTTAATCTGTTTTAGAAACTGGATGGCTTCTACAGGGAGCCAGGCCTCTGATATAGACAAGATTTTTGAATTCTTCAATGATGGCGCACCCCCCACCAAAAAGCCCAGGTAAACAAGGGAAGGGAATCCGAGAAGCACAGTAAATTGCCATTAATGGTAGGTAATGAAGATTAACCAATTTACCCAGTAACCCAATTGTTTTCACCAATACAGACTTTCATATAAAAACCAGATTACTTTGGTTTCAGTTTTTGTTTTTTGTTAAGGTCAAAAATGTATCTAATTTTAAAAGTCAGTATCAAGGCTCCTACTGCTTCACTTCCTCTGAGCTAACCACTTTCAGCTTTTCTGTTTCTTCTACTATTTTACACCCATATTTTAAAATACTATCTGTGTACCACTGTTTGTTAGTTTTGGGGTTTCATTTGTTTCCAGTTATGGGTGATAGGGATTAGGCATGCTCGGCTTCTCCCTGGATTGCCACCCTCGCGCACGTCATCACACTCCCTGCAGCCTCCTGGTGTATTATATCACCTTCTCGGTTAAAGCAGGTTTTTGTATTTACACTGTAGGTCTAGATCAACAGTATTCCTAGCTGAACCTTCTTTTCTTTCCTTGAATTTGTTTTGCTGTAACTCTTGTCTTGGGGACTTTGCTAAAATGTAAGGTGATCCTTCTTTGCTCATATTTAAGAGAAAACGCCAGAAAGCCAGTTGGGTAACCTGTGTGTGCACAGGTGCTTGGTCCCTATAGGTTTCATGGTGATCTCTAGCTGAGTAATTCCCACCTGTTGAACCTGGGGGTCTTTTCTCTTACACTGTTATCCCCAAAGAGGAATCCTCCCAGCTCCTGACAGGTGGGGGACAGTGTGCGGGAGTCTTCCTCTAAGGCAGGGCCCAGTGGAGAATCTTAAATCTCCTAACAAACTCTGACTTAATTCTCCCACCTGCGCTGTGCACAGTATTCCCACACACAGTTCTCTCCAGAATTCTCCAGAGCTGCTGCTGGCGCAGCCGTGCACCAAGTCTTCTCTTTCAGTTCTTCCACTTCCATGTTCTGCTCGAACATTCCCAGGGCTCTAAAAAGGAAATCAGCTGTCACTTTATATCTTGTACAATTTTGTTGACCCCTGTTGTCTGCTGTCCTCTCTTCCTACTTTTTATCAGTTTGTGCCCTTTTTAAACATTACTGTTAGTGTTGGCTTTAGGAAGAAACTGAAGTGCAACACGGCACGCTTTTCCTTTTTTAACTCTAAGTCCTAAATTAGGAAAAATTCTGCCTCAAATGTATACATGAATGATGTAAAAAATACAGCAATATCTGTTGAACAGTAAAACACCTTACTCTTCCTAATTCCCAGAGCTAACCACTGTTTACAGTTCTCTGTGACTCTTGCTTGGACATTTTCTATGTGAGTGTATGTTTCTGTCTCAGCTGAAGTTTGTTTTTCATTGTTTGCCTCTAATATCTAGTCTCAGTCTTTTGCAGTAGACCTTTGGCAGTCCATCTTCTTCATAGATACTTCATCCCCAGTGCCTATGGTAGTGTCTGGTACTTACAAGTCCATACATTTGTTGAATGACTGAGTGTGGGAATGGGGGATCCAAACGGTACTTCTTTTGGTTGTCTCCCCAAAACCAGGTTTCCCACGGTTCAGAGCACTGTTCCTGAGTACTGTTGTTTCTGTTCATTTTAAACATGTGGACAAGAGGTTAAGAAAGGCAGAGTTTCTTGTTGGAGGAGGAATATGCCCACAGCCAAAGTTAATGTGGAGAAACACATTTGCAAACAGATTTTAATATAATTTCCAGAATGAAGGGGGAGTAAAGGACAAACACAGAGCGTGTCTCCCTGCTCTCTCACAGAGAAGCTTAGACAGAACTCTCTATATGTGTGCCATGGAGGGTAAGAAATCAATGTGTTTCACTTTTTGTCACCTTTGCTGAGTAGTTATTCCTTTATTTAGCTATGTGAGTCTCCTGTGTTTTCAGAATGCTGTTGGCCGCATTTTTTTTTCTTCTTCTTTCTGCTTGAGGATAATCTAGAACAAAACCGAAGGCAGATTGTTTCCCATATTTGACTATGTCATGCTCAGTTTTACCTTAATAATGCTGACAAAATTTGAGCTTCCATATTTTATTGACTTTCTTTCATCTCCAGTTTTACATTTCTCAGTCATAGGAATTAAATTTGTATGAGATTCTTTTCTCTCCGGAATGCAAATCAAACATGTTCTTTTGAAATTCAGTGTTGGCTTAAAATACAATTTTAGTTAGTAGAGCTCAGCTAAACTGCCATGTAATTGAACCTTTCCCTAATATTAGTGGGATTTTTTTAGGTTGAAAGGACGCTGAAGGAGAAAATGATTTTTAAGATTGTTAGGATTTTAGAATAGGTTTATTTGTTTTTCAGCAAGCAGTGACTCAGTATTCTGGTCTTTTTGTTTAAGCTACTTCAGAGAGGTCTCAGAAACCCATACTTGTCACCTTGCAACTATAACTGTAATAGCTGAAAGCCATAACTTTAGACAATCTCCCCATGAACCTCATTTGTACTGGATGTTCCCAATCTTACTTGTTTTTTTTTTTTTTTCAGGAAGTTGCTTCCAAGCCTAAAAACGAAGAAGCCTCGGGAACTTGTCCTGGTGATTGGAACAGGCATTAGTGCCGCTGTCGCCCCTCAAGTTCCAGCCCTAAAATCCTGGAAGGGCTTAATTCAGGCCCTACTGGATGCTGCCATTGACTTTGATCTTCTAGAAGATGAGGAGAGCAAAAAATTCCAGAAATGTCTCCACGAAGACAAGAACCTTGTCCATGTTGCCCATGACCTTATCCAGAAACTCTCTCCTGTGAGTACCCTCCTGTTTCCCCTGACACTAAAAATTTCCCAAATCTGTGGCATGCATGCTACATGCGATAGGACATTCATTTCTAGCTTGCAGATTTGCATAGCATTCAGCTGTTCTGCAAATGGTCTAGTGTCCCTATTTAGGGCAGGAGTCTGACTCATTTCAATGTGGTTAAGATGGTGGTGGTGGTGGTGGTGGTGAGGCCTCTGTATTACAAAACTTAAGATTGTTGTCCCATTTTCACTGTTATCATTTTTACTCTATTTACTAATGTAAAAACTTTGTTCCCAACCCTCGAGGCCCTTTGGGGAACTTCAGAAGGATTAGAGATAATTCTTATCATTATGGATGAAGCAGCTCTGGTTTATCATGTTCCTTTTAAAGGAATCACTCAGTATTTGTTTGGGTTTTGTTTTTTTTTTAAGATTTATTTATTTATTCATACGGAACTAGGGTACAAGCCAGAGGTGCAGGGGCGGTGAGGGGATTCGCCAAAGACAGAGTGGGGAGCAGAACAGGCAGATCAATGAAGTACACTGCTGAGGGGAGCAGCGGGTGGGTCAGAAGAGGTCTGCCGCATCATGTGGATCACTTCCAGGGAGGCTGCTGCTAGCTTGCAATGCTGCGTTCTAACCCATTGCACCACCAGGGAGGGCCCTGTTTGGGGTTTTTGGGAAAGATTTATTTTGAACCTGCATATAAGAACTGGAGTGCTGGAGTGTAGGCAGTGAGCAGATTCACCAGAGACAGTGGGGAGCAAAACAGCAGATCTACTGAAATAAATTGCTGAGGGGAGCAGTGAGCAAGACAGGAGAGATCTGTTTCCCCATGTGGGTCGGCTCCCTGGCTGGGGATTGAACTCATGGTGCAGCAGCTGCCAGTAGCTTGATCTACTGTGTCTTCAACCTCTGAGCCATGAGGAACGTCCTCACTCAGTATTTGAAAGAAATTTTGACCTTTATTGAACTGAGTTAGATATCAACTCCTGAGTAATTAAAGGGCCTCATTGTCTTTCTTGTCATAAAAATTTCTTTAAAGTCAGGATTCATTTGAGATATATTTGGAGATAATAAAATCATCAAAGCATGTTCTGAATGATAAGGCAAATGCATCTTGAAAAACCATACAGCTTTTTACTCTTTATTAAGTCATTTATTAGTGATGATTTTCCCCCAGCCCATAAGGCCTATGGGAAAAGAAGTCATTAAGAGCTAGCCTGAAAGACAAGCATTGAAAAGTAATTTTCTCTTTGTTCATGACTCATTTCAGAAATGTAGGGTCTTTTTCTTCCTCCTCTTATTTCCTCCGACAATTAAATGTGGAGTTAACATAGGACCTAACAGTTGTGCTTCCACAGATATACCCAAGAGAAATAAAGACTATGTCCATGCAAAAACTCACAAATATTTAGAGCATTCTAAATAACAGAAGGTAGAAATAACCCAAGTCCACCGACTGGATAAAGAAACACTGATCCATCCATCTTGCCTTTAAAATAAGTCTCACTCATGCATGATTGTGTGATATCATATGTTGGCTATCTGGAAAATAATGATTCACTAAGTTATCATATTTTCTAGATGTTGACACATTTTACTACACAATGAAAACTTACAGTCATCAGTATCACTAGCAGTCCTGTCAAAAGGGACTTGGAAGCTATCTGATGCGAGTTGGCAAGTGAAAATTTTCTAAAATTCTAATTTGTCCTCACTTGACAGGCTCACTTCATTTATTTTTGCAAAAATGCATGAGGATACCTAAATCTGCATGATATTTTTTCTGGCCTTTGTTTTTTCAAGTCAAAATGATGTTTGATGAAAAAGGTAGTTAGTTCCGCTAACAATTCAAGTGCTTAGCCAAGTGTTTGCCTGGAGCCAGCCACCCATTCCTCTCTGCAGCATGAGAGCTTTAAGTATTCTTCCTGTTTCTTCACACAGGAGGTTAAAAGGCCATGTACTTAAGGGTCAGGATTTAATACAATTTATAATTTTTGCCTCTTCACTAAGGATAACCCTCAGTAAAACTAGCATTTTATATCTTCCTGCAGCTCTGCAGTGACGGCTGGCACAGATTCGAGTCAAGGCACCAGCATTTTTGCTCATAAATCCTTTTGTACCATCTGCAAATAGTCTGCACAGTTTAACAGACAAGTAATTGTCTTAATAGGATTAAGAAAACTATTTTGAAAACCTCCCCACCTCATTTTGTTCGCTGGTTTGTTCAAGAGTCCTGCGCAACAGTAGTATGGCAAGGCTAATTTAATTTGCACACTTACTGAGTCTGTGTCCTATATTAGGGAAGTGACATTGTGTGTTCGGTGTGAGGGGCTTGACCTGCAGAATCAGAAAGACTCTGCCATTTAAATGCACTGGGACCCTGGACCAAATTACTCCTCAGAGTCTATTTTTATACCTGTAAACTGGTATACTAACTTCATTGGGGCTTTGTGAAGAATGAATGAGATAATGTAAAAATGTCTGGCATGTAGTATGTATACACAAAACATATTCTTACCCTTGGCAAAAAGGAGTCAGGATTTGTTTTACTATATCTTGAGTCAGGAAGGTGAGGGTGATAGGGTAGTAGAAATGAAATAGCATTAGATTAAGTTCCCTGTTCTAAATGAATAAGAAAATGTCTAAAATTTTATGTAGGATTTTGGCATCTCCTTTACACCTTGTTTGTTTTCATTCTTTTGTCTTAGAGAATGAGAGAGTGAGAAGTTCTAGGGTCATCCACATCAAAACACATTCCTTTAAAGTCTGAGGAAATCAGGGCAATTACAGAGGCCTCCCTCGCTCTCTGTGGGCATGCAGGATGTAGTAACCTAGTCATAGGATTGAAAGATAGTTGGCGGTGCATGACGTTTATTTCCAGGCTTTAACCTTTTTATATCTTTTCTTAGAAGCAAGAGAATATATTCTATACCCATGATTACCTTCCCGATAGTAGGCCCAGGGGTTCTTATCTATGTGTGTAATGATTAAACTGTGTGTCTATCAATCAGGGTGCAAAGTGAAGTTACAGAAGCTCTTACAATCACCATGTTCTTTAATTTTAAAATTAATCTTGCTTTTTGTATAGCTCCTGTCAGCCATTGCAGAAATGATATAAAAAGGTTTATATACATGTATATATCTCACAACATTTCACTCCCACCTATATCTTTGTCTACCTCTTCTCCCCAAACTCAACCCCACCTCACAGGGTCATCAGTCTTAAGAATTTATTGTATGAAAAAAAAAAAAAAGAATTTATTGTATGTTCCTCCAGTGTTTGTTTTTGTTAAAAGCAGGCTAATAAGACTCTTTATTCTTTTCTTCTTATCTCCATCTTCCATGTGAACAGGTAGCATTCTGCACATGGTAATCTGTACCTGGTTTATTTTACTTTATTACCTGAAGGTCTTTGCAAACCTGTCTCCTCCATATGAGTACTGGACTCATTTCTAGTTTTTTTTACAGAGCAGTGATAGCCATATTTTCAGTTATATCTGTAGGATATATTCTCACAGAAATGGGATTGCAAGATTGTAGGTAAGGTGGGTAAATAAGTTGTCATTTCGATAGACACTAAAAGGACACCACTTTATTTTATTATTTTTTTTAAATAACAAGTCTAGAAAACTGCCTGGGTTCACTAGTCATTGCCTCTTGTATGTAGTAAAATGGAGTAACGAGGGTCATAAGTTCCCTTAGCTTGTTCCTGGTCAGATTGTGCATTCTGATTAAACTGTGTTAGCGTGCTTAGGTGGTTGCCTTTGGGCTGCTGGTATGTCATTATTTATGCTGTTGTATGAGAAAGGACAAAAGTTGAAATCTCTGTCTACTTTCTCAGTCACGTAAATTATGGGCTATGTCATCTACTTAGCACTAGAAAAGAATCTGAGCTCACTGCCTGTGGTCACCTGTCTAGTCAAAGATTAGCATCGAACAGTGATTGACAGAATCAGAAAAATATCTGGGCTTGTCACCAGCAGGCTTAGGTACTGTTTTGCTTTTGTGCTCTTAATTTTCCACTGTGAAAATATTTGCTATTTATTTTAAAGAATAGATATAATTTTATGTTTTTATTTTATACTTTATAAAATATTTCATACTTTGCTTTGATGATTTTATATTTGATGATTACATCTTTGAAATAGTGGGAAAAGAATTTGGCAAATTGAAGCATGTTGCATGCATCTGCTTATGTGGTTCCATGGAAACAGATCTTTTATCATGCACATTAGAAAGACTTACAAAGAAAACCAGAAAGGTAGGGGAACTAGTATGAGGGAAAAGGAGGATTGTCTAACAGCTAAGTGCAGTTATGTGTGTTGGAATGGGAAGAACTCATTCTTGGGTTATTATTTAATGGGTTGTTTTACAAAAACAGGAGAGAGAGCAGATATTTGTTGTAGCATGTTATAAACTTATTTTCTGTTTCAAATTTTGTCCCAGGAATCACTTTGTGTTTTAAATTAGAAAGCCAACTTCTTACATGAGATTGATACTGTATTTCCTCATTAGTTCTTAAAGGTGCTTGCATGTATTTCAAATGAGTCTGGGAAAGCAGTTATTGAAATAAACCGTATGTTTAAGAAATAGGGAGTCTGTTAGAACTGGTTGGTTTTTAGTATTGCTGGCAATTGCAAAATGCAAATATTTGATAATCCTTAGAGTATTTGAAGTATTCTTCCTAGCAGACCTGGAGACAAATTGCTGAATTATGCCAGGGGAAAATAGCAGACAAATAGAACTTAAGCAGTTTTTCCTAAACCCAGAAGCATCTGTAAAAAATCTGTTCAGTGATTAATTAGCATGGAACAGCGACTGGCAGAACCAGAAAAGATGTCAGGCTGTATTTAGAGATGGCTTCTAGTGCCTATTACCCAGACACGGAAACACTAACAGATAAAGTATTGTCTTCCTACCTGTAACCTAGCGAGTAATTGGTGCTGGGTACTTCTTCAAAAGTGTGCTATTACTGTAATGAAAACAAATGACCTACCAAAACACCTAAGATTAATGTTTCTCTTTTAAATCCCACTCTAGCGTACTAGTAATATTCGATCGACATTTTTCAAAGACTGTTTATATGAAGTATTTGATGACTTGGAGTCAAAAATGGAAGATTCGGGAAAACAGCTACTTCAGTCAGTTCTCCACCTGATGGAAAATGGAGCCCTGGTGTTAACTACAAATTTTGATAATCTGCTAGAACTGTATGCAGCCGATCAGGGAAAACAACTTGAATCCCTTGACCTTACTGATGAGAAAAAGGTAAAAAGTGAAGAATTAGTCTCTTCAGATTAGTGGATTGTATTGGCTAGTACTGGTATCTGTGTAGAGATAGGAAGGCAAATTCTTATTTCTGGTTGGGATTTTGGTTTTTGAGATAATATATAGTAAAAGGCACAGATAGTGAAAGTGTTCAGTTCTGTGAGTTTTGACAGTTTCACATAATTTTAAAGCAAGGTTATGGAAAATCTTGTGAACTACTAATAACTTTTTGATGCTTGATAATATCAGACAGGTGTAATACTGATTTGGAGCTCCCTCTTAGAGCATATTCCTTATGACATACTTTGGAAATGTGTGCTAACTCTAAGGTCTTGGAAGAGTAACATCTAGGCAGGTTGAAATCAGCATTCAGGGAAACCTCTACACACTTTAAAAATGTAGCCTATGCTGCATAAGCCATCTGCTAAACTAACAGTAAAGTAATTATAAGTGCCCCACATCCCATCTAAGTTATAGATGTTGGTCTGTGCGAACTAACAAGAGGAGGACTTATTGGATGGTCACCTAAGTTTATAATATGAAATCTAGTACCAATAGGATTAAATTGTATATAATTGATGAAACACAATAAAGCCATAAAAATGTTTTCACTGCCATAAAGAAAAGTCTGAGACACATAGTGAATAAAGAAAAGCAGTTGGTAAAACACCACCAGGTCTCCTTTGACCTATAAGTTTTCTTCCACACTGTATCCCAGGAATCTGACTTTAGATCCCACCTAGAGCGCAGCTAAATAGAGCTTGAATAGCTCTTGTCAGGTTTTAAAAGGAAATCAAATTTAAGAAATGGTGTCAGAGACTGATTTTCTCTGGCTAGAGTATTTTCCCCCATGTGTTACAGGCCCGGCTCATTCTTCACTTGTGACCTCAGGTTAGGTTCACCTGCTCTGACATGCTTTCTCTGACCTTTCTTTTTAAGATAGTACTGGTATTTAGAAAGATGGAACGGAAGGAACCCAGCCTTATTTCTTTGTTACCTTCATAGTGCTTACTCTTTTAAATTTTGTTTTTTTTTTTTTTTAAAGATTTATTTATTTATCTATTCGTACAGAACTGGGGTACAGGCCAGAGATGTGGAGGGTGAGAGGATTCACCAGAGGCAGAACGGGGAGCCCAACAGACAGATCGACAAAGTACACTGCTGAGGGGAGCAGTGGGCGGGTCAGGAGAGGTCTGCCATGCCATGTGGTCACCTCCCGGGCAGGCGGGAATC